CATGCTCAGCTCGTTCGAGGCAAGGCGCGTCTCACAAGGCTCTGGGTCGTGAGATGAGAGCCTGATGATGGGAATCATCAGAGCTGAGCGGGAGAAACTTGAGTATAAAGACGAAGGGACGACCTGCCTTTGAACAGATTCATCAGCCAACAACGCACTCTCATCTCCTCAAGAGACTCACATCCACAACCGTTTCATTTCTAACCCTCTATTCAATATGACAAAGAACTCTGGCCTGGCTGCCAAGGGCCTGGTGCTCCTCTTTGCCACCACCGCTTTTGCAAACCCCATTGAGAACCTCTACCGAGAACTTCTCAAGCGCACCGATCCCCCTCGTGCCCTCGACGAGCATTGCTCTGAAGAGGAAAAGAAGTGGCAGCCTACCTTGGACTTGTAAGCTGACCGGTAACACAACTGCGGCTGATGCTGACTTTGAAACAGTGACAAGGATAGCTGCTACAACGTCCCAGCCATCGACAAGGACGGCAACATCGCTACCGGCGACACGGTCGATTACCAATATTCTTGGTCTGACAAGTGTCGCGACATTGAAGACCTTGATAACAACAACGTCTACGTGCGCACTCGCTGCAACAACCACTGGTGCGGTTACCTGTACGACTACTACTTTGAGCGTGACCAGTCCGTCCAGGGTGTCGTAAGCGGCGGCCACCGACACGACTGGGAGCACATTGCCGTCTTCACCAAAGACAACGAGGGCGTCCAAGTCGTTGCCGCTTCCGCTCACGGTGACTACGACACCAAGAAGGCTGGCGATGTCCGCTTCCACGAGGGAACGCATGCCAAGATTGTCTACCACAAGGACGGCGGCTCCACCCATGCCTTCCGTTTCGCCAATGAGAAGGATGATGATATTGAGAACCATAAGGGATATTGGTTCGTTGGACCATTGGTCAACTGGGAGGGCTTCCCCAGCGGTGAGATCCGCGACAAGCTCATGAACCACGACTTTGGCCAGGCCAACATTGGCATCAAGGACGGAAGCTTCAAGGGTAACCTAGACCGCGCTCGCAACGACCTTGTTGACGGCTTCAACAGCGGCTAAATGCATCGGTTGAGTTTGGAATCGAGAGCTCCATTTGTGAGAAGAAAATGTGTGGAGGATATGGCATTGGGATATCTCTTGTCTATAGCTGGACTGTGGCTTCAAGATTGACCTGTATCTTTATTTCAATACATTATGCGCGCGCAACACTCTTAGCACATTTGTTAGTGAACTTAACATCCTGGCCACATCTCACTCATTCGGATCTACCACTGGGCACATGAAGGAGTGAAACATACGTTGCGGTTATAAGGCATTGTTGGAGATCCAAGGGAGGTGTCAACAGCCAGACCCAAATATGATATAGGTCTAGAATGGAATCAAATAAGATTAAAGACCCTTTCTCGCTTCATTTATGCTTAAAATAGTTTCCAAGGCCACGAATGTCGTCGGGAATACGAAATCCAATGTCGTAATTGACTTTGTTCCGAGCGGGCCGGCCCGGGGCTGCATACCCCACCAGATTGACCTCGACCTCGGCTAAGACGGTCTTGGAGAGGATCATCTCGCTTGCCAAGGCCATTGAGACTTACAGTGAGATATAAATATGCCGCGGCTGATAATGCACTTCGCCATGGATCGAGATAGTACCGAACCCGTGGCCTTGTGATGCCCAGGTCAAGTCCTCGAGATGATGGCATATGGTACGCCCTCACGCAAGGCAATGCTGTCAGCAAGCTACTCTATTATTCCACTGGACTGAGCTCTTTGTGTCACTATGGCTCACTGTCAGGGCAGGGTTAGACACATATGACAGATGGATCTGTCAGCCTACAGCTCGGGTATCGCATCTCCCATGCAACAGCTACGTCATCCTCAAGGAGGAACTTTTGGTCTCCCCGAGGGCCCGAAGAATATGTACTATTTGAGTTTACCTGATAGGTTGATCTGATGCATTAGCCGCGATATAGAAAACTATCCATATGTCTTACAATAAGCCATGTGGTCTGGCTTGCCATCTCTATGCTCTTGGGTCTACTACCACCTTGGAGATGACGCTAGCAAGCGATTTCCTTACAGCGCCAAGATGAGGCAGCTTGATTAAGCTGGACATCAGCTTCGTTTAGTACTGACAGATGCCGCTTAGCTTTGACGACCTATTAATGGGGAATGTCATGTAAGTCGCGGTTAAGAAATGGACTTTATTACCATTTTGGGGAGGTGTCGAGTCACAAGGTGAAAATGATTCGAGTAGTGATGTTCTATTATTGTGCTACAAGAAGTAAAAATACTGCAATGCTTGCGTAATGCTCTATCATGTCTATAGGTTTGCCATGTTGGCGCATCAATGGGGTATATGTCTATCAGGCTCCTTTTTCTTATTCCTCCTTGCCCTCAGCAGCAGCAGCAACCTGAGGTGCCGCCGCCTGCGCCATACATCTCTTCCTGATGCTGAACACGGCCGTCACGTGACCAACAACCCACCAAGCGAACAGAACGGGAAGACCGATGTGCAGGTAGTTGCCGCATCCGGACCAGACTTCGATCAGAACGATCCAGAGGGCGTGAGCGGGGAATACGTATCCGATGCGATAGAAACCAGCCATAAGCTCAAAGGGAAAGATGCAGGCTGAAACGTTGACCATGAACCAGGTGAGCAGGAAAAATGGTGTAAGTGGCATCGGTACAAAACTGTTTATAGTCGATTCCAGCACTTGGAAGTTGGTATCCATAAACAGCCAGAATGTCAACCACGTGAGAGCCCAGTGTCCACCGTTGACACCCCAGTCCTCGCGGAAAGCCCAGATATATCCGGTAACAACGATGGCGAACAGCATCGAAAAGATCTTGCCGATGATGAATCGCCACACATAGACGTGACGAATGCTCAAGCCCTTGTGGATGCCAAAGGTGTCAAAGATGCCGTTCATGGCGAGCACGAAGAAGAACTGGCCCAGGATGGCCATGACGATGTTGATAGTGTTATAAAGGTTTCTCGCGGCTTGGTTCGTAGGACGGATCACGTCGGGGGCTCCCTGGATGGGGTTGAGGTAGGCTTGGATGGCGGCGGGATCGCTGCTGTTGACGTTTCCAAAGGCGGCTTGGCCTTCCTTTGTTCGGTAGTAACCGCCTCGCATGGCGCCGACGAGGGATTGAAAGTTGGAGACGAGGTATCCAGATGCTGTGGTTGGGTATCTGGCGCTGTTGTAGATGAATGTCACGCTGTCCGTGGGGTCGTAGTTCTGAGCTGCAGAGCCGCCTTCGATAGCAGAAGCGAGACGGTCAGAGGCGCCCTTGTGAATGAAGACGGCTCCCCAATAATCGGCCTTGCACACGCTGCGCCTCACATCTTCAGGGTCGGGGTAGTTGGAGGACGATTGAAAGTCGAGGGATGGGAATTTGCGGCTCTGCAGACCCTGATAGGCGGTTGAGACTGACTCTCCAATAGGACCACCATCGTAATCAACAACGAGGATGTTAAGCGCCGATACTCGATCGTTGGCTTTAAAAGATGCACCAAAAAGGTATGAAAGGTCGGCAAGGAAGACGACGAGGATGGCCACCATGACGCCCATTAGGACCTTGACGGCCACGACCCTCTTCTGACGCCATTCTGGCGCGTTAATGCCCTGCCTTTCAGGGCTCGACATATCCAATTCGTCGTGGAGTGTCGGCTCAGGGGAGGACTGCCGGATAGTGTTGTCGGACATGGCTGCTGCAGATGTAGTTGCTTGCTGGACCTTGACAGTAAAAGGAGTCAGGGAGCGGCCGACCGGGAATAACCTGACGTTTTTCTAGCATGAACCAAATAATGGGAAGAGGCAGCTTAAGAATAAAACAACCGTCAGGCCATTTTGCAGGGGGCGGAACCTTTACTGGGCTCATGGGCCCGTAAAAGGGACCAAAGCAGGCTCTTTGCGAAATTCATTAATTGGCTAGTTAGCGGGATTACACTGGACCTCAGCTTGCCCCCTTCGGTGTTCCTGGTAAGGCCGAGTCGCGAGGGAGCGAGAACGATCTTTTTGCAACGTCGCCATTGGTCAGATTCAGGGCTAGATCTTGAAATTGATAAGATAAGTGTCCGTTTTTCTCTCCGGGGATAGACCGTGCTCCGACATTGAGGGTCTCTCGTCCCCGGGACGCGTGTCCGAAGGCCGAGGCCGGTCTGTTGGACTAAACTCCGGGCACCGACCAGCAAAAACAACAACTCGCTTTCGGTGAGTGTTATGCGAAAGCGATGGATTGATACATGCTCTCCGCAATGAGATGGAGTTACGAAGCATCGGTTGTCCGAGGTCTTCGCATACCTCTGGCCGTCCATATTCTCGGCCTGGTGATAGCGGAGATTGCTTCATGAATCACTATCGTGATGAATCCAGATAGGCATTAAAAGACACGCACTAACAAAATCCAAGCTGTTTCGAACTCGTTTCCATATCTCCAACGTTGAGCCTGGGTTGTTGCTTTCTAATCGCTTGTGCGTGGCACGGACTCTTCGGATTACCGAGGAGCGAACCCCGTAGGGATGGATTATTGATCAATAGTCGTCATTTTTTATGTGCCCTTCGACATTCGACCTGGGTTCTATTATTTTGGCGTATTGCAAGCTCTATCGGCCGACGATTAGTCCATCTCGGAAACTTTTGGACTTGGCCAGTCGTCTTACAGATGCGCACGCGGTCACTGCAAACTGCCGCGCGGATCAAACAAGTGACCACGACATCAATCATGCTGCCTGGGTCTTTTGACTGCATTTTGCCTGAAGGCCGCGGGCTTAGTACCCGGATCGGCGACTAAAAAGACCACATGGCGCGCTAGAATTCATCATGCTTGAGCTTCGCGTCAAGTGACGAGGTTATCTCCGAGATCCCTGCCCCGGGCAATTGAGCATCTAAATCCGGTCGCACTATTGGTCGAGCTCATAAATCCCCGTCAAGAAACCTAAGTGCTAACCTATACACCATAATTGAATCCAATTCTACTCTCAATCAAGCTGACTAGTCACTTTCTGTTACAAGAGAGTGTATTTAGTTGATGATATGCAAACATTGAGCTCAGTTCTCTCTATTTAGCCACGGTACGGATCCGGAAATTCAGCACCGCCCAGTCATCAGATTCATAATGTTGAGACCCTCCTCGGCTACTCTTAGCCTTGCGCCTGCCACAGATATCCCCAATCGGAGGGAGTTCGAGACACATGAATGAGGTAGGCTGGCGCGTTACAAAGACCTTGATAATATCTTCGCACTGAGTTTCCCCCCTGTCCTTCAGTTCTTGCGGAATTGTCATTTCCATCGTCTTTCTCCACTCGCCGTCAGTCCCAGAGGGGAAGTCTTTAACACTGGTGTTGGTCAGGGGTGGCGGAAGAACATGGTGGTCTCCTCTGAGCATGTTTTCGACTTCCCAGAAGGCGTCTAGGTTGAAAACATGGAGAGACAGGTTTTGGCCCTTTCCCCCTTCATTTCTCACCATTAAGCATAGCTCCGCGTCCTCCTCTATCTTTACTACACACTCTGGGTGGGAGCAAGGCGGGTGTAAGAGTCCATTGTGCAAACATCCTGGAAGAAAGGTTTTTCCTGACGTCTCGTCGCAAAGCTGGACGTGGAATGACTCGATGAAATTCTGTGAGGGAGATTTGTTCGAGAGATTCTTCACCATTTCATACCTGACCAGATGCTCGATAATGTCCATGAGAAATGACGGATCCTCTTCAAGATCCGAAATAGGAGGCGGCAAGTTTGCTAGTAGGTTGTTCGACGCATCCCGGATTTCATAAGCCTCCTTGGAAATGACCCTGACGTGGAGTGTGAACAGGTCGCTAGGCGTTGTATCTCCCATGGTCACATATAAGGATGGTCGTTCCTGAATAGCTGTTCTCCAAGCGTGGTTGCTCTGTGATGGGACCTGAAGTCTGACGGGGTACTTTCGGAGTGGTGAGTGGCTGAGTGCTGTCCCCATCATACCAGAAGAATACATACTTCTTGGAGACACGGCGCTCAACTCGGATACGAGTGGTCGAACGTTTGTCACCTCAAAGATCTCCTTCTTTTGTGTGGCGTCTTCTGACTGGTCATCATCAACAGAACATAGACCAAACTTGTCTCCTTCACAAACTCCATGTGCCTCACCAGCGTCTAAAAGCAGGAGTGGGCCATCTTTGATGATTGGGATAGGCACCGCATACAACTCGGCGGTCAAGTCTTCAAAGAACCCAAGACGTTTGCTGCCATAGAGCATAGGTTTCTGGTCAGGCGGCTTTCTCTCTCGAAACCTGGCGCATAGGTGGGCGTAGATGTGGTGCGGTCTTCCTCCCACACGGCCCATCTTGCCAAATGCCCTAATAAGGAACCAGGACAAGATCCCGTGATGCTTGCCCTTGATCTTGATCTCCCCTGACGGCTCTGACGGACCGCATGCAGCAAATACAGTGTATTCGGTGGGATTGATGAGCCAGTTTATACCCATTGAAGCGCCACGTTTGGTCGGATAAGAAACTGCAGAATCAGCTGTGAGAGCAGCTGGCCACTGGAACGGGGGATATTTCTTGTCCACCTCCGAGTCGTATGGGAGGCAGCGAGAAACCTCATCGTTGCGGACCACGCTTCCAGAATAGCAACAGTCCAGCACAAGAGTGAGTTTGAGGCCCTTATCGACAGCGGCTTTCAACAAGACGCCCAATCCTTGGCCGTGAAGATAATGGATACCAGGCTTGCCTTTCTCAAGAAGAACAAGTGCAAGGCACCGGTAGATGCATCAGGCTTGCGGTCGTCGTGGGTATCTGGTGTCAATACAGTGCCATGTCCAGAAAAGTGTATGTAGACAAAATCACCAGATGATGCTCGCGATATTATGCTGTTGAGATTTAACCAGACGTTGTCGTAAGTAGGTAAAAAGGCTTCATCTTCAGTGGGATAGCATGACTCTTGGGTGACGGGGCGTGCTGGGGCGACGGGGCTTGTTGGGGCGGCAGGGGTTGCGGTAAGTGTTTTGATATCGAGATTTTTTCGATCCTTTCGTAAACACTTTTCCAATTCCTGGACATCATTTACATAACCTTTGAGAGATTGATCCCCCGGGTAACAGGCGATCCCAACCAAGAGTGCGTAGTGCGTGATTGGTGCAGTGTCTGCGGACATGGTCTTGGTAGGGTGGTTGGTAGCATGGGCAGAAGGGACAAGAAAAATGAGCGGGAGGAATTGTAGGCAAGCACTCAGGAGATCAAGTGGGCTTTTGCAGAATGACGAGGTTGGCATTTCCAGCCTGAAATATTATGCATGTCTCATGCGCAGAGAGATTTTAGTTGGGCACCCTTTCACCTCTGCCAATTGGGTTTGTTATTTCTAGCATAGCCCCCATGATGCCATCTCTCTCAAAGCTAAACTCGGCTATTTGATCCATGACGAGACAAGCTGTTGTGAACTGGTCCGCTTTGGCAAAGACAGATAATCACGAAAGAATTACAATAACATCGCCCCCTTCTCAGACAGCCACAATCACACTAACGTCGATCTCGCCGTTACCCACAGGCTGCCCATTCTCGAAGCTCAGAGTGCACTTTCCAGGGGCTGGAAGCGTGGCAATCAGATAAGGGCCCGATAAAGTTCCGTTGGAGTTGCGAAGGTGCACCTTGTCTCCGACGTGAAAGCCACTCGTCTGCTCAAAAGACTTTGTCAGCGACATCCATGTGACTGGCTAATGGGAATACGAACATCATAGCTGGCCACCCAGGGGAGCTTGACGGCGTCAGTGAATTCGGGGCTTGGCGAACGACTTGAAGATCAATTAGCACTCTTCCAGATAGGGGAGACTGGGTGATTTGTGTGGTGCTTACTGTTCAGGGTTAGTCATTGTGGATGGAGGGCAGTTGAAAGTCTCTTCCTGCTCTGTCAACGCGTGAATGGTTGTTGGCAAGCCGGAGAGTCCCTCAAGTATTTCTAGGCGCCCCGCGAACGTCAATTCATAAGGTCAACAAGGCCACCGTAGGCTTCACTTGGCACCCGAGCCGTCCAGCCACCAACATACATCTGCAGCTGGAAAACAGCGCATGCAGTTCGTGGCAGCATCTCATTGGGCTTTGGTTGTCAATGAAGAATGCCTCACTTTCAACCTCGACACGAGACGTCAAAATGCACCGATTCAAAACAGTTGCCGCAACTGCTACTGTGAGACAGTCATCTGCCGTCTCCGTTGCGTTACCTAGGTCTATACTTCAAAAATAGCATTAGAGGAACTATGATACCTTCTCGATCATGCTTACCTATTTTGCCCATTTGGGACGCATCGTCATCCAGCAAGGGCCAGGTGGCTGGGACTCAAAGTACTGAATCTATGCCACTATCAGTGCAAAGGGCTAACAACATGTAGTCGAGGATTACAAACCTGGGTACCCTCGACTTACTGCCTTGGTCTCGTCCTACGATCGCTTCTTTATATGCCGCCGCTTTGATATGCTCCGATCACGACTGCTGCTGCTGAAACAAGACCAAATACCAATCCTCGAGGAAAAGCTGAAGAAAATCGACGACTCAGAACCCTGTCCTCTCTTCCTAGGGAAATCTCGAATCGACAACAATCAGAGTAGAAAATGCAGACATTGGCGCTTGTCTTGTTGAATATGGTTCGTACGGCCTCTACTCGCCTGCTTCTAATGCTCACGTTGGATAGACCAATTAGTAGAAAGAACTCAAAAAGTTCTGAGCTTAAACACGGCTGGGCAAAGAGATGTGGATAGTCTAAAGAACTGGTTGAGGGGCACCGGGTGCGTTGATAGACAAGAAATCCGGTTTCTAGAGCATCGCAATGAGCTATTTATTGTCTCTAGCTCTCACAAATGACAGCGCCATGATCAAGTTCGAGGTTTGGGTAGAAGACAAGCTCATTCGCTTCTCAGAGCGCTTTCGGCAGGTGTGTAAATATGCTTTACACGTTGTACTCTACACGCTAACAAGAAGACAGAGCAGGTATCGAAGCGTCTCATCGGATCCCAATGTCCACATCTACTCTGGGCCGGTCATCAGGAGGATCGCCAGGGCGCTGATGCTGCTTCTCATCACGCTGCTCCTTATGATGCCAATAGTCATATGCAATCTTGTGGGCACCAACGCAGGAAGAATTCTCGTTGTTATATTCTCTACGATTTCGTATCTGGCTATTCTTGCTGAACTGACAAACACGAGAACTGTCGAGTTGATTGTCGCAGGCACGACGTGAGTTATTCCTTTCATAAAGCGTCAATGGTGATATTTTGATGTTGTTAACTCATGGCAACATAGCTATGCTACTGTTCTAATCGTTTTCGTGTCTGGTAGCGTTATGGATGGTTGAGGACTCCTGAGATGTGCAAAGAAACCTGAAGTGGTCAGGATAATGGCCAGGATTTTCTGGATGGACTTATGTACATAATAGACATAGTACTACTAGCTGAAAGAATTTCGGCGGACAAATTCTCTGGTCCTTCACAAACTGATAACCTCTCGTTTAGGCGAACCAATTTGCGAAGCAAGCAGGGCTGTGAGATATGAATAAGGTAATTATAAGCTTTTTTAGAATGTCTTACCTTTTGAGGTATTAGTTATGTTCTTTGCAGCATGGGTGCTTAAATACTACGGTTAACTTTTCAAGTCCACCACCCACTCTGCCTAACTCGGGCCGGATGCAGAGGACCATCACGCCCTTCACCTTTATTGCGCAGCTTTTCTATCTTTTAGGAAAAGCTTGAGTTGCGATCCAAAGGGTTTCGCAGAGACAGAAAGTCATGTCCAGTTTGGACGAAGATATCCAATCCGCCAGGCTGGCATTTACCGACTGCGTAGCGGATCGACACAAGCTTTCTCGTCAACTTCGGCGACTTCTCTACAGAAGACACCTTGATTACGAAGAGCCCTCTGATATCAATGAATGTATTCATCTCGCAAGACAAACATCGTCTGATGAAGCTGCAAATGAGTCCGACCGAGCAAAATGTGTGGAATCCCTTGCAGTTTATCTCTACAGTCGTTATGAAAACGCTGGGGATGAATCTGATCTGGCCGATTCCATTAGATTCATCAAGCAGGAACTCGACGCAACTCTGGATGGTCCAGATAAAGCTGGGATTTTCCGTCGGCTCGGGGATCGTCTTCATGACAGCTATACCAACTTTGGGCATTCAGAACACCTGGACGAAGCGGTTCAAGTGTTAAGGCATGCGGTGGCTCTGAGTCCAGAGGGTCCGGATCGGACGGACCGCTTACACTCTCTGGGGACCTGTCTTGGTGACAGACATTCAAGAACTCAAGAGATGGATGACATTGAGGAAGCTATCGACTTGGCCAGACAGACTGTCGAGGCGACCTCTGATAGCATTTCCCGAGCTATCTATCTACAAAACCTCGGGGCAAATTTCCTTGACAGGTACTACGCGGCCGGAGACATGGAAGATCTTGAGCAAGCAATTGAAATTGCAAAGCAAACAATCGAGGCAGATCGAGCCAACGAGGTTGGACCTCACTCTCACTTCGTCATTGACCTGGCGAGTCGGCTTCAGGAGAGATTCCAGGCGACTGGCAATTTCCAGGATTTGGAAAATGCTGTTTTGATAGCACGAGAAGCAATCGGCTCAAAATCACCTAGGAGGAGGAGGCCCCTTGAAGACGAACTGGACATTCTCTCTAGCATTTTGATGGACAGATACCGTCTAACGGGCGACGCGGCAGACTTTGACGAAGCACTAGATGCGAGAAGACGTGCAGTCAACCAGACATCAGACAGCAACCCACAGAAATCCCTGCTACTCAATAACCTCGGGACCATACTCGCGACTCGATATTCCAGGTCCGGAGCTTTGGTCTATCTCGAAGAAGCAATCCGGATACAAAGGAGAGCTATCAGCATAGCACTACCCGACGATGGGCGACGACCAGCGCTTCAGAACACTCTGGCCCGTCTGCTAAGCATGAGATACGCGAGAGTCGGCACAGCGAGTGACAGCGAAGAGGCGTTCAAAATCTCCAAGGAAATAGCGGAAAACACCCCAAGTGGCCACCCGGACCGTTCGAGGTGGTTGGGGAATCACGCTGCACGACTTGTCGAAAGATATTACACTTTTAAAGACGTTGCCGATCTGGATGAAACCATCAAACTGCTGAGGAAGGCTATCGAGATAACGCCAAAGGCTCATAAGTTCCGAACAAAGTGGCTCCATGATCTTGCCTGTCATCTTTGGGACAAGGAGCTGATCCGTGGACCTGCCGCCGATTTTGACGAGGCGACAAAGATCTTTGAGCATGTCCTCGAGACAGCGCCAGATAACCATCCGGAACGAGTTACATATCTGTGCAACCTGGGAAATATGATAGTAAATCGCTATGAAAGAAATGAACAACTTTCTGACTTTGAGAGGGCGCTTGGCTGTTTTCGTTCTGCCATGTGCCAACCAAATGCGTCTCTCCTTGATCACTTGACTGCCGGGGCCACCATGCTGCAGGTTTGCCTCACTCATGCACACTGGCAGCATGCATTCGAGGCTGCAGAGTTTGTCTTCCAACGGATGCCCAACCTTGCTCTAAGGTCCCTTAACAGTGAGGATAAACAACATCTTCTCGGTCTTATGGCCGAAGTGGCTTCTGACGGTGTGGCGGCGGCATTGTTCGCTGAGAAGGGATGCCTTGCTGCATTGAATCTGCTTGAGCAAGGCCGAGGCGTGTTGGCCGAGTCGATTGAAGCTATGAGAGTTGACATCATGCAATTGCAGGATCGTTATCCGGACATGGCGAATGAATTTGTTCGTCTGCGGGATGAGTTGGTGGGAGATGAATTTGATAGTGATGATGAGGATAGTCTTTCTCGGGGCGACTAACGTTACAAGATGGGGAGAGAATTTGATGAGCTAGTTGAGAATATCCGAGCACTGCCAGACTTTTTAAGCTTTCTGGGGCTGCCTAGCGAATCTGAGATTCAAGGTGCGGCGGTGGATGGTCTACTTGTTATTATCAATGTTAGCAAGTATCGCTGTGATGCACTCCTTGTTGAGGATTAAACACGGGTTTTACCCTTATTAAGTTTGACTAGGGAGGAGATTACAAAGAAAGCCAAGAAAACAGACCTCGGCAATCACCAGATTCTTGAGTGGCTATGGGATACAGTGGCGGAACCGACTCTTGAAGCCCTTGGGCTCAATCGTACGCCTGCTGGGGAGAAGTGGCCGCGTATCTGGTGGATTCCTACCGGTCCCCTGAGCAAATTTCCTCTTCACGCAGCAGGTCGTCACAGACAAGGGCTTGGAGAGACTGCCCTCGATAAGGTCGTTTCATCGTATAGCAGCTCCATCAAGATCATCATCCATGGCCGTGCTCGTCGCAGTGGAGAACACTCCAGGACAGGATCGACTACGCTTTGCGACGCAAGAAGTAGCAGAGCTCCGAAAGATCTGCGGGAAAATGGAACTGACACCTGTAGAACCCACTCGGGAGAAGGAGAAACTCAAGGAATGTCTGCAGAAGTGCAAGATCTTTCATTTCGCAGGCAATTGCTCAACAAACTACTATAACCCTCTCCACAGTCACCTGTTTCTCGACGACGGGGGTGCCAACCCTCTACGTGTTGCGGATCTTCTGGACATCAACCTCCATATATCCTCGCCGTTTCTGGCGTACTTGTCTGCCTGTGGAACTGGTCAGATCCTGGACGAGTCTTTCATCGATGAGAGCATCCACTTGATCAGCGCTTGCCAACTGGCGGGGCTTAGGAATGTCATAGGGACACTGTGGGACGTTGACGACAAGTTTTGTGTCGAGATGGCGAGTATCACATATGGAGTCAAGGAAAATAGCAAGATGAACGACGAGTCGGTGTCTCGCGGGCTGCACAAGGCGAGTCGAGAACTCCGGGATAGTTCTCTCGGAAATTTGATAGAATTTCGAAAGGCTAGGAGACGGTCGAGAAGTGACAGGACTTCCGACGAGGGAGTAGATACGAGTTCGGATGTGAGAGATGACGGCGGGACTGTGTTGACCAGAAAACCCAAATTCCTGTATTCGGATGACGAAGAGGACTTGGAGGCAGGGCTCCTGAATTGGGTTCCTTACGTTCATTTCGGCGTGTAGATATGTATTCGTCTACTGCAGGGAGCAGAAAGACCAAAAGAATGTCAGCATGTTAGCATTGAGATATGATGCTATGATGATATTGTGGTTCTTGATATTGCTGAAGCTCGGCCCTTGATGGGATAACTAGGCCAGAAGACAGAGTTGAAAGTCGATGATGCTTGCAAGCGTGGATAAAGCAGGGAGCAGTGCACAAAGTACTTGACTCTTGTGACTGTGACAGGAGTAAGAACCTTGGCGGTAGAGTATCTAACAATTGTCTAGACTGGATGGTTGATGCTGGTGTTTAAGAGTTACAAACTGTTTCGACAGTTGTGATATCCTCGGCGATGAAACAAGAAGCTCATTTTGCCCGGTCAGGATTCTCATAGACTACCCAACGAAAAGGACCAAACCAGGTCAATCCACTCAACTCTGGCTACGAGTCCAGACTACCCCAGTCTCTAACCGAGTGCCGAGATTAGCGCAGAGTCCCCAGTGAGTATCCTGGCGCATCTTTGCCCCCCAGACATGGCAGGGATGTCGTGGAGACTTGGAGGACTGGGGCAGCGGAAACGATTCAAATGTCCGTCATCAGACGGACATTAAGGTTTAGAAGGACCTGTGTTCCATCCGAGAATGGGCTCAAGTCTGCCTTGTCATTGAGCGTGTTCAGCTGTCGACTTGCCTTTCAGGGAGAAAGTGTTTTCACTCCACCGTCTGGGTACGGTTTTGTGCAAGCTGCATTCCAGCCAATGCAACATTGGCTTGATCCTTGAGTCATATCACTCAGAAAGTGAGACACCGTGGCTTGCCTTTCCTTCTTCACTCTGCTCGGTGCCCTTCACAGGGCGATTTACGAGGGTAGGCCTGCAAGATGAATGAGGTTAGTCAACACAACATCTTCTAAGAGCTGTTTTATTCCTGCAGCTTACCGGCACCTGGCAGCACACCACCATCAGCAGAATACCCAATCCGGCGACTCGTACACAGCACGGAGTCTGCCCATTGACAACAACGCCAGGCACACGCCGCAGCCAATCGACAGGGGCACATATGTCAGATATGCACTTTCCACAAACCCGGGAACGGCGCAAACCGACACTGAAGTTTATTTATTCGTCGGCCGAGAGGCACATCGTAAAACAGGAGAACAGAAAAATTCGGAAATTATCTTTATCCTCGGTTAGGCGCTTGAGAAAGCCTGGTTCAGCCACGAAGCATGTGGCTTGCCCTAGCAAAGGGGGAGAAAAGGGCAGAGGGTGAGTTGATTCCGCCATGTGTCATGGGTTTGTTTTTAAGCTTATTATGCTTATTATGGCTTCAAAAGTGTTTAACCAGGCGCATCATGCGGTGATTTCTGTGTTTAAAGGGAACATGGCCAGCTGAACCTGGGTCTTGACGGTACGGTAGTTGTGGTCTCGGCCCTCGATAGACCCTCAGCCGTCTTGGCATTTGACACTGCCAAGCTTTTGTTCACCGAAGCATGACCAACGTTTTTGCTCCCTTTTCTGACTTCTTGGGGACTAAAAACCAACTGTGGCGTTGAGGTCTGGGTCTAGGGGTAGGAACCTGTGCCTAGACTGGCGGTTAAAACGCCATTAATCTCTAGCAGCCCTCGTTTCGCTTGATGTTCCCTCTTGTGGGCGTATTCCGCCTTACAGGGCTGGCCGGCCATTGGGAGACTATTGATTCTGTGCTTATCGTGGCGGCGTGCTATATGCGCCACGATGTTCAGCTCGCTGGATCTGGTGGCTACCTCGCTTGGGGATAAGACTTGAGTTGTCCCTGAGATTTTTGTGGGATGGTACGGCAATTTCTCAACGTCTTCAGACAGGTGCCAGCAAGATGAAGTTCTCACTTGTTTTGATGCCCTTGATGCTGCTCGGGGATGTCGTCTCCGCACAGAGCAGTTTGAACGACATCTGCACCGGTAGCGCCAACTCGGGTTGCAAGGCGACTATCACGGTTCCCAACGGTGTCAAGGTCATCAGGACGAAAAAAACGTTCACAAAGGTATGTTTCTAACGTAGCGGGGATAAATGATACGATGAGCATCTACTAACACCTATGGGACAGGACAACCCGTGCAAGACCAAGAAGACGGTCACCGTCAAGTGTCCCACAAAGGCAAATCCCAAGAGGACATGCAAAAAAAAAAGCCAATGCGTAAAGGGTAAGACCTCTTCAACCACATTGGCAACCGCATGCTCACGTTTGTAGGCAAGGATGTCTTCACCAAGAACGTCGCTACGGGCCTCCAGATCACCTACGTCAAGATCAACGTCTGCAACAAGATCCGTCAAGTCCTAGGCAAGACCCTCGGAGACAAGTTCCTCAAGGCCAGGGGTCCCATCTGTAACTGCTTCCAGAAGCTGCGCACCTTGAACAACCAGGGAAAGTTTACGTCTTCTTCATTGGGTAACTTTGACTTGGCCAACGAAAACTACCTCGAACAGGCCCAGGATTTGCAAAAGGTATGGCTCTCTCTCTCTCCCTCTCCAATACTTTCTTGCTAATTCGGTCTAGTGCAACACCAATGGAGGCCTCAAGTATGGACACAACAGGGTGTCTACCGTGAACAAACTCAAGGCAAACGGCTGGGCTGTCGCCCTTGGCGCTGATGTATGTATCGCTATCCATCGTCTAGGTCAATTGGTCACTAACAGTAGTCCAGCTTGAGATTTCGACTTTCCGGGCCATGATTATGGTCATCCATCCCTGCCGTGTTACGGGCGTCTGCGACTACAACCTGATTCACACCGTCTTCAAAAACTACCTCTTCGCCACATACCGAACCCTCCTCGTCCCCATCATCCCCGTCACAATCCGCTGGAGAGATGCTCTCGTTGGACTTGAAAAGTCCACTGGTTACGTTCTGAACCAAACAAGCAATGTCACTGAAGCCTTCTATGACATCGAGTCGACCCTCAACAACTACAGACACTACATTTGCGGCGAGCTCAACTACTGCGAGGGCAATCGTTTTCATATTCAAAAGTTCATGGGAAATGTCGACAATGTGATGAGTATGACTTATAGTCTCATCCAGGCTAGGCAGCCCCTTGCTAGCCACAAGGACACGGTCACTAGTCTATCGGGCGACGTGAACACACTCATGTCAAACTGGGCCAAGGTCCCAACACCCAACGAGTTGGTCAGCAAGATCAGGAACAACGAGATCAAAGTTGCCAAGGACATCTTCAAGTTCATGCCTGTCGTGCAGGGAATGCCAACCACTGCCAAGAAGGTCACTACTGAGCTCGGCCCTCTAAAGTCGTTTGTCAGCCAATATCTTGCGGAATCAGAGAACCTTTATGATCTTATTACCAGCATGGTTGAGATTAATTGGGAGAGGGACCACCAGGAAGAGTTTGGCAACGACCAATACGGCGTGTATGTGCGCAACGGGCTCATTTCCATCCAGGGCCACCTCAACGAAGCCCTAGCCGATGCCGTCAAGGTCTACTTCTGGCTCATTCGTGCCGTCGACTTCCAGCTCAAGGACTTTTCTCTCACAAACGGACGCTGGAGAATGGAGACTGGCACTACACCTTACCAGCGATGGACTACTCTGCACATGGACATGCCCTGCACAAAGATCACCAAGACTCCGTACAAGGCTGAAGGCCTGAGCAAGTTGTCCAACTCGCACCGGGTCTACTGGAAGTGTCCCTTCGGGCCCCATGACACTCATTATCCCATGGTTCACGTTCCATACGTGAGGATGTACGAATGAGTGGAGTGAAAGCTTGGAGACAGTGTAATTGCAAGCCTTCATATTTCACCCTCTGTGTACTCTTTCTGTCACTTTTCTATAGTCTTAGAACATAGCTATTTACATTTTTAATTGCATTATTTAAACTGACTATGGTTGTTCACTCTCGTAAAGACCCAGATGACTTATGACGGCTGTGGGAAGGCTCCCTGAGGTGGTTGACTTGATGTTCTTTCTGTAGGCACTCAGCATGAGGATATGCACTGGCGCTTGAGGAGTACAACTTGGGTAATTTCAGTGGTAGAGGCGCGGCGTTGCTCTCTGACCTGGGTGTACTGAACCCTCTAATATTAGCCCGACGTTGGACGGCCCCGGGGGTCACCACGCTCGACAATCACGATTTGGTAGGTACCAATGTAGCAAAATAAAAGCAGTTCATTCACGTCACCCCCAAAAGTTTAATGAGCGTGTGGTTTAATAGCTAACAAGTGATAGTCCCTTGCAGAGAAGAGGACCTATGCCTACTACAAGCTGAGGAGGGACCTTGATGCACGAGCAGTGTCCAACTCCTATGATCCCATGTCCATGACCAGAAAGCAAATGAGAGACATGGCCATGCTAAAAACGCTCTATCTCTATGTTCCCATTGAGAAGAGCTACGGAGCGCGTTCGCTCAAGTGTAACGAGCATCATCTCACAGGCCAAGGTCCTCGTAGCCTCGGCAGCAAGTCCAGCAGTCACCTTGCTGGCTGGAGTGCTACATGCCTGTTAGCAGTATGCCCCAATCTAAATCATCATGGAGTGTCATACCCATCCTTCGGGGCATTGGATCTCCTCCGAGGCGCAAAGAAGCCAGCAAATATCCTGCTTGGTCAGCCGGGCCTTCGCAGGCGACTCGCCAACCTTGACTCGAAGTCTAAACAAGTCTATTAGCTTCGGGATGGAGAACAAGCCATGCCAACAAGCCCTAGCAAAGGGTTGGAACGGTGACATGGCCACGGGGGAGAGAAGGTAAGGGACTAACGTGATCTCGCCATGAGAGCTTCGAGGCTGAGTAGACCACGGCATGGCAATGGCGCCAGTGGCAAGGCTGAGGATTGCAGCAGTGGAGAACTTCATGATGATTGAGTTTGGTGGGCAAGTTGTTTGCTTGATGAGATGATGGAGTAGTGAGTAGTGAGTAGTGAAGAGTGAAGACATGGAGGACTGACGGAGATGGCTATATATACTAATAAAGTTCGTTACAACAACCATGGCAGTTCCATGCCTCGGGATCATCGTTCCGTCGGACTGAAGACTGACGACTGTGTCTGTGATCAAACTCCTCAAGCAGACCAAGATGGTTGCGAAAAGGCAAGAGCCCGAGGACAGTCGGACCGAAGTGTGTACCCGTCCCCGCAGTGCAGCTTCACCATTTTCCTAGATCACAATTTCGAGGCAGGCGCACAAAGAAGGAAGTAGTAGAAAGACATTCCTGCGACGAAGAGTGTTGGTGGATGGAGGGAGGTGGTCCACATATGACGGGCACAGCAGATGTTACGCAGAGACAACTGCACGTCGCCGTTTTTCGTAACTTTGAATATTAATCATTAATGTCTACAGTTCGTTCATATTGAGGCATCTCTTACGAGAATATGGCTAAGAGCTGGTTATCATTGGCTGTCTTGAATCGAAACGATATCTCTGAGACTGAATCAGTGTCAGTTTCCTAGGCTAGGGGTTTCAAATAGTCATTCCTGTGCTGTTCAATATCTCTGGGTCAAAGGGATAGTGAACCGCTTGTCCCACGCAAAGGTATGGCAAGCCACCAGGTAACCCCCGCACTCTCGAGCATCGCACTCGAACTGCGGAATTGCAAAAGCCACCAGATGCAGTACAACTCGGCAGGCGTCCCGCCTCCCCTCATCGGAGTACGAGCATCTGGGACGACATGATGACTTTTCAATCTCCTGAACCACAGTAGTTTGAAGGTGTGGCAGTCCCTGCCTAAGCGTAGCACAATGACAACACCACTCGCAGATGGGTATCTGCACAACAGCTCCGACACAACTATGAGCTAGACTTTGACGAAGATCCGAAACTGCCGCGCCGAGGTTCCGATGCTTCGCATCTCGGTGTGCCCCTTGTGGCCGTTCACTCGCCAACCACGACACCTTGTGGTAGTAGTACAGCACAATGTGGTAACACTAGGGGACCTCCGTTTCCGTGTCGACGTGCAACATCCCCATCCCGAGACAGAAGTGATTTGGTGGGGGATGAATGTCGCTAGGAACCCGAAAAAGAGACTGAGGGAGCCCGGTAGATCTCGGAGATAGGGTGCACCTGTCCCGAGGCCTTAGCACTCAGTACTTGGATGAGTTTGCAAGGACGAAATAATGGAGACTCTACGATCCCTGGCCTTTGAGAAGATTGTATGGATACATTCCATCTATCGAGTGGAAACGGCACGGCCCGTTTCAGTTCCATGACATGTTCGAGATCAGCCACCAATAATGTAGCGACATGCGCATGTATTTGTCTCATCATGTCTCTCGCGTCACTGAGTAGTCAAGGAGTGTACTACTGGCTGTGAGAGTTTCTGTGCTTCTTAAAGCGACACAGAGCATGTCTGTCACGGTTGCGCTTCGCAACGAGGCTTAGGGGTCAACTCCTCTTGGGATGCAGGGTAACCAGCAGCCACGGAGTAGAATAATATCACGTAATGCCGTCTACGAAAGCATGTATAAGGAAGGTCGTTAGGGACCCGAAGCAAGGCATTCTTGGCCCTGATAATTTCTTGACTACCCCTTCTAACTCTAGGGCCCACAAACTAGGTCATGACCTCTGGAAGACCCTACAAGAGCTCAGAGCTGTCAAAGCTCTCCTCCCCACAAGTGTCATTCTAGTAAATCCATCAGACCGACTAATGCTCCCACTTAACTGCTGTGTTTTAGCTTTTGATCAGATAGTGTAGGGACATGCCAGTTGACTCACCTATCAAAGAAAAAGTCCAAGCGCTTATTTCCCTGGTCATTCGTGTTGTTCAGATAGTTTGCCTTCTCCTGGGTCGACAGACTATTCCACTTGCTCCTCTTGGACTTGTTGCGGTAAGTGTAGTATCCCTTAGCAAAGGCATACGCGAAGATTGTTCCGACAGTGATTGCTACCAAGTTTTTGTTTCCACGGTGATAGAGGGGCTTATCGTCCTCACGGTAAATGTTGGAAGATGCGATTCCGGACAATTGGATCGTGATATTGTACAAAGCAGCGCTGATGGCTCGAGTTCGGACCGAGTTGGAAAGGCGAGAGCACCAGCCGACTTGAGCTGCATGGACGGATGGCTGACCGATGATGAGGAATGCCAGGGCGTATTGGGCCCAGTGCGATAAACTTTGGACTGAGGTGTATTCCACGATGAGCAGAGGCAGGACCCAGAGTTGAGCAAGCAGACCGAACAAAGCGATCTGGTGGAACTTTTCAGTCAGGAATGTGATCCAGAGCATGTTGATTGCCGCAAAGACCGTCGCAGGAATGGTAAGAAGAGTCGTATTGAAAGTGCTGAAGCCAAGAGCCTTTAGAGAAAGGGTGAGGTAGGTCTTTGGAGGCGAAGTAGGGATCTCGAAAAGAATGCCAATGGCGTAGACGGGCCAGAGATCGTAGTCCTTGAGACTCTTCCAAAGCATACCAGCTGTGATTGGCTCTCGGTTGTGCATGCCAGACTTGGATGGATCGTCACGAAGGACGCGGTTGACGATGATTTTCTCTTCGCGTTCGGTATAGTACCCGGCAGGATTCCACCACGTCTTGGTTTGTGTAGGTCCGGGAACGAGGAAGAGGAAGCTCAGAACACCGATGACCAAACTGACTAGCGCTTCCAAGAGGAACAACCATCGCCAGCCTGCTCTACCAGCAACACCACGCATGTGCAGGATGCCATAGGCCATGAATGAGGCAACGACGCCAGACATAGAGTCGACAAACCAGAACAAAGCAAGGCGGATGGGCATCTCGGTCTTCTTGTAAAAGTAAGAGAGATACAGAATGGAATCAGGAATGAAACCACCCATGAAGAGTCCAATGAAGAATCGACAGGCGAAAAAGCCAGCGCGGTTGTGCATAAAGAATTGTCCGCCAGAAGCAAGACTCCAGAGGATGATCTGCACAGGAATCCAGCGATCTGGGCCAAGCCACTTGCCGACCATCTGAGATGGAATTTCAGCAATAAGGAAGCCAACGCGGTACATATTCTGCGCGTTATTGTAGTCGTTGGTGTTGATATTGAGATCATCAAGCAGATTATCAGCAGCAGCATTGCCGAGATTGCCTCGATCGATGTTGAGACCAAAGAACATGACAAGAATCCAGACAAAAATCTTGAGATCCGTCTTTCGCCTAACAGCTCGTTCCTCGCGGTATGTCCATCTTTCGCTTGGGTCGAAGCGATGAAAGTTTTCATACTCGGGAGGCGGCTGATAAAACGGTGCGAGGACGGGATCGTCGAAAACGCTTCGCTCGGTGGCGATGGCGTCGAGGTCGGCGGGTTTGTTGTGACGAGTCAGCGCTTCCCAGAAGCCGATGTTTCTGCTCGTGTCTTGAGGTTCTGCTAGATCGGTCCATGCATCTTTGGAGGCATCGACTGTAAAAGATGGGGTCTTGAAGACCTCATCAACGTGATTTGGGCCACTCATTGTGGACCACAAGCCTCTGATGGCTGTAATGTTGATCCGAAAGTTGATTAAAGTGAGAAATAAGCTTGTTGTGTTTCGTCTTGAAAAGCAGCCATCTCTTTTGTTATATACACCTCTGCGTCCACTTGAGGGAATCGAGTTACACCTGTTTCCCAACCTGCTCTGCAAAGATAAAGAGCCTCACTTCAACGTGCTGCGGCGTACAGATGATGTGACCATTCAAAGCGGCGCCACTACCGCTGTCAATCTGCAATCGGTCTCCAGGCTAAAAGAAAGCCACCAATTCAAGCTTGTTGTTTCTTAGTGCTCGGCACCGATGATCCGAAAAGCCATCACGACATTACGGGGGTGGAT